CTGCTGCTGCTGTTGCTGTTGCTGCAGCAGCAGCAGCAGCAGCAGTGTTTTTTTCACCCTTTTTTCGTCCTTTTAATGATTAATTATAATAAAATAACAATAAAATAATAAATAAAATAATAAATAAATAATTAATAGAAAAGAATAAATCTTTAGGTGTATATGAACGTACACCTCGTGCTGCAGCAACAGCAGCAGCAACAGCAGCAGCAGCAGCAGCTGGCTGTGTTGTCTTCTCGACGGCAGCAGCAGCAGCAACAGCAGCAGCAGCAGCAGCAGCAGCAACAGCAGCAGCAGCAGCAGCAGTGCAGTGCATCTTCTGCAGGATTTGTTTATTTTATGATTTTCTTTTTTTAATTTATATTTATATTTAGTAGCTAAAACAAACTGCAGCAGCAGCAGCAGCAGCAGCAGCAGCAGCAGTAGTCTCGCCGCAAGCGACAACGGCCTACTGCAGCAGCAGTAGAGCCGACTCGATATACTTGAGGTGTATGTACACCTCAAGAAGCAGCAGCAAATTATTAAAAGCAGCAGAAAACAGCAGCAGCAAAACCCTAATTATACAACAACAATAACAGCAGCAGCAGCAGCAGCAGGTGTATGGATATATATATACATACACCCGATAAACCCTAAACCCTAAACCCTAAACCCTAGAAGATTGACCAACATGCCTATCGATCCCTTTTGCTTCTTTCGCACCCTCGGGCTATGCAAAGTAAGAATAAACCCTAAACCCTAAACCCTAAACCCTAAACCCTAATTCAAACCTTCACTAAACCCTAAACCCTTAACATGGACCGACCACCGGCCAAACCACCCGACTAAACCCTAAACCCTAAACCCTAAACCCCCAATAAACACACACTACAACCTCTAAACCCTAAACCCTAGTTGTTTATATCCTTAGATTACCTACCCTAACTAAACCCTAAACCCTAAACCCTAATAAACCGTTTTTTCTTGTATTATACATAAACCCTAAACCCTAATCCCTCCCTTCAAACCCTCCCATGAAACCCTAACAAAGTTGTACCACCTAAACCCTTAAAAAACCCTAAACCCCAAACCCTAAACCCTAAACCCTAAACCCTAATTTGTGGTTTCTCAGGAGCCACCTGTTGAGCTAACGCAACCTGAGTGGTGGGCAACTCTCCCTAATGGGGGAAGGACGGGGGTAATGAATCCTATGCTGCAGCAGCAGCAGCAGCAGCAGCAGCAGCAGCAGTATTCTCAGCAGCAGCAGCTGCTGCAGCAGCAGCAGCAGCAACATATGCTGCTGCAGCAAACCCTAGGCCAACCCTATGATGCTGTTGATGTAAGAGAGAGCGCAACAGAATTATATTGCATGCAAACAGCAGCAACAGCAGCAACAACATCTTATTATATACCTTCTAAGCAGCAGCAACTGCTGCAGCAGCAGCAGCAACTGCAACTGCAGCAGCAGCAACTGCAGCAGCAGCAAATGCAGCAGCACAGACAATATTCTACGGATTATACATCCCTACATGGACGTGCATACGCCCCTGCTGCACCCTCAGCAGCAGCAGCAGCAGCAGCAGCAAGCAGCTACCCCAGCAGCAGCCGCGGCAGCAGCAACGGGCAGGTGTATGTACCTGGCTTCTTTGGTGATTTACCTCTAGGTAAAGGAGCAGCAACAGCAGCAGCAGCAGCAGCAGCAGCAGATAGATGGGGAGCAATGAGCAGCACAGAAGCAAGCAACAGCAGCAGAGGTGTCAGTCAATAAATAATAACTTAAAAACAGCAGCAGCAGCAGCAGCAGCAGCAGCAGCAAATGTTGGAGCAGCAGCAGCAACAGCAGCACAGCAGCAGCAGCAACTGTTGGAGCAGCTGCAGTAGCAATGGCAGCAGCAGGAGCAGCAGCAACTGCAGCAGCAACAGCGGCTGATGCTGCAGGAGTTTTTGACCAGCAGCAGCTCGTCGTCTTAATCGAGCTGCAACAGCTGCTGCTGCTGTTGCTGCTGCTGCTGTTGCTGCTGCTGCAGCAGCAGCAGCAGCAAGCAGATGGGGAGAGAGGGAGTTGTAGAGGAGAGACAGCCAGTTCAGCTGTCTCCTTTTTTCTTATTTGCTGCTGTCTCTTTATTTAATTAATTAATTAATTTAATTAATTAATTTAATTAATTAATTTAATTAATTAATTAATTAATTATATTAATTAAATTTATTTATTTATTTATTTGTTTGTTTAAATTTATTGTCTCTTCCCTGCAGCAAAGAGACAAATGCTGCAGCAGCACATGCTGCAGTGCATGCACACCTCAGCAAACTCAGCAGCAGCACCAAATACATGCTGCTGCTGTTGCTGCTGCTGTTGCTGCTGCTGCCGCTGTTGCTGCAGCAGCAGCAGCTGCTGCTGCTGCTGTTGCTGCTGCTGCTGCTGCATTGGTTGCTATAAGGACAAAGTTTAAAGATTTGTTTAATCCCTAATCAACACGTGGCTTCTTAAAGAACTGCAGCAGCCCCTGCTGCTGCTGCTGCT